CCTGACAGCCCGACTTCAGCCCTTTGAATGTGTGGAGACATCTGCTTTAGCCACAGGGCCTTTGCACAGAAGCCCCCGATGCCGGACACTCACCCATTATTTTTTGAAAATTTGTTTTGTGAGGTGTGACCCACGTACAGAAAGGTGCCCACATCACAGGTGCCTGGTGGTGAGGGTTTTCTCAACAGTGCAACCGGCCGGGGCCACAAGGCAGAGGCTCCCCGAGGCTCCTGTGCCCCACCTGGTACAATCCCTCACCAGCAGTCACAGCCACACTGTGCGTCGCTTTCACTGTTTCTGAACTTTATATACAAGGACGCCCTGACACATGCCCTTCTGTGTCTGGCCTCTGTCCTTCCTCCTGCCGCTGTGACACCCACGGACTCCGTGATCAGCCCTCGGGTCTCCTTTTCTGATAACTTCCCAGCAAGCCCTGGCCAGGCTAGGTGTCATCCCCATGTGCTCCCATGGCAACCAGCTCTGTCCCCATGGCAACCAGCTCTGTCCCTGTGGCAACTGGAACCATCCTGGTGGGTGCAGTGCTGCTGCCGTCTGTTAATCTGCTGGTGGGTAAATGGATGGACGAATGAACACATTGTCAGGAGCGTGCAGTGAGCGGGGCAGAGAGCAGCCCAGGGAGGGGTCTGCCCTCCTGGACACGGCATCCAGACCTGCTCCGATGGGGCACAGACAAGAGGGAGGGTGACACGGGACAGGCGGATGGAATGGTGGTGTCTTTGAGGTGCTGGGATAATCTGGCTAAGTGTCAATGGCCTTCAGGGGAAGAGTGGGTTATATAATGCTGTGATCATGAGGGACAACTTGACACTGCTGTGGAATTACTTTAAAATGAGGGTGTACGTTCTGTAATGAGGAGAAACGCCATGAGCAGGAGCCACGGACGGGCCTTCCCGCTGCCCGGCGCTGGGCCGCTGCGGTCCCGCTCCCACTCGGGAAAGACTGAGAAGAGGTAACACAGCATGGGAGGGAAAAACGTCCACCATGACAAGGAAAACGTGGAGAGGAAGCCAGTAGGGGTCTTTCCTTGTAGGCACCGCGCTGACTGCCAGAGCCAGGGAAGCCTCCCTGCATCCGGCGTGGGGACACGAGCTGGAACATTGGAAAGCAAGGGCAGAATACTTCCCGAAGCTTCTGAGATGTGTATTGCAAATAACAGCCTCAAGAGGAGGGGCTGGTGGTCGCCTGTGTTATCTCAAACACACTGAACCACTGGGAACACACCAACTTCACAAAAACTGAGCAGACGACTGAAACGTGGACACGTGGGCATCACAATAGACGGCAGGACAGGAGGCTTGTTGATACGATGTCCCCCCCCAGTGGCCAGTGGATGTGTTCCTGGAGGGCCCCAGGAGGACTTTCAGGTTTCAGGAGGCCCCTACATGAAAATCATTATATTTATATGATATGAGTTCTCCCATGTGTGTCTCGTGTGCACACAAGCATGTTTTGTGAGTTTGTATGTGTGTACGTGTGCATTTGTGTGCACCTATGTGTTTGTATGCACTGTGCACACATGTCTGTGTGCATGTGTGTGCTCGTGTGTGTGTATGCACGTGTGCACATTGTGCTTGCATGTGTATTTGTGTTGTGTGTGTGTGTAGGTGTGTGCACATGCGTGCATTTGTGTGTGTGCATGTGTGTGAGGGCCTCTTGCTGCAGAGCAGCCCTGAGAGGAGCAGAGACACATTCTCCACCGTGGCCCCGTCACAGCGGAGGCTGGAAATTCTTCACCTGCTTCTCACTCTGTGTCTTCAAACACCACGACCTTGGACGGCCTGATATGCTTGTAAAACACGGAACTGATAAACTGTAAAACAGAAGGGCATGATACGTAACTGAGGAAACCTGCAAAAGCAAGTCAAACCCTCACAGTGCAATTCCTCCTAACCTACACGCTCTGTTCTGCGACATTCGTCACAAGAGCAAAGCAGCTGGACACAGTTGCTTCGGGATGTTTAAAATTCCTCTTTAGAAGGAAAATAGCACTTTGGTTTCCTGGGACTCAAAGAAGGATCCCTGCGCCTGGGGTCCCTTGGCCTTGCTCGGGGGTCAGGGAGGTAGCAGGCAGACAGAGAAGTGCCGGTCACTGTTCTTGTCCCCGACCACCCAGGACCTCGCATCCCGTCACCAGTGGCGATGATGTCAGGGCTGGACATGGTCCCATCCTGTGGCCACCAGAGTGGACGACCCCCTGCAAGTTCAAGGGTGATGGGGCAGCTGGGACTTTGACCATCAGCGAGAGGGGAAGCCGAGGGCTCTGAGCAGCTCTGGTGGGGGTGCTGGTGTGGGTGGGAGATGCTCATCGCTTGTAGAAAGCAGTGCGGACACCAGCGCCGGCGAGGGAGGCAGCTGTGTGCCGAGCTGAACTGCGTCTGCAGCAAACTGCATGTGCAGAGCCCACACCAGACACTGGTCGTGGCCCCGGCCTCTCGGGCGGGAGCCTGTCACCTGCTGCTACATCCCAAGGAGCGTTTTCAAGGGGTCTTGTTAGCATTTCTCCTAGTTTCCTATGAATTAGTAATTGCAGAACGCACCTTGTGTATGTGACATAGAATTGTTACCATCCACGTTCATTCGGGAAGAGTAATTGGTCAGACAACCTATGCTGCAAACAGAGTGAAAGATTCATTCATTGTGCACCTTGTAAATAAATTATTTCTAGGTACATTAACAAGAGGTAAGAAAATAAAACACAGACTTTAAAAAGATACCTTCACCAAATAGACAAGAGTTGTTATGAACGGTTTATTTTACATATTACACATGATTTAAGTCACAGGCATATCCGTGGATATAAGCGCCAACGCGTTTGGTATGACAGGAACAAGTTATGTGAAGAAATCATCCTATCACTTTGTCTAGGGAGAAATTAGCCCAGTGGTTAAGTCGTGCTTTATACTTGGGTGGGTTCTCTGGCTTCTGCATGTGTCACACCTGCCAAACGTCCTCCTGCCAGCCCCTCATGCCCCCGCCAGCCCTCGGCCCGGGAGGCTGCACTGTGTGCAGCGGGAACACCGTCTTCAGGTTGACTGGAGCATGGGAGTCACAGGCGACGGGTGGGAAGGGTAGGGAAGGGAAGGGAAGTCCTCACGCTCTGGACGCAGCCCTCGGCCCGGGAGGCTGCACTGTGTGCAGCGGGAACACCGTCTTCAGGTTGACTGGACCATGGGAGTCACAGGCGACGGGTGGGAAGGGTAGGGAAGGGAAGGGAAGTCCTCACGCTCTGGACATCAGCTCGCAGCGGCATCTCGGGGGGCAGCCCCTGGACGGGGTCCCCGCTGCCACTCTCCCTCTGGGTCCTGGACCGCCGCCCTGGTCCCTCTCACTGCACGGCTGCCTGCAGTTCCAGCAGCAGGGCTGCACACATGGTCCCTTCGTTAACACCCTCTGGCACCACCCACCCTGAGCATCTTCCCTGGGTCCCCTTCTTTAAACGTGCCCCGCGAGAAAGACTGCAAACCTCTCGGTCAAACGCCACTGTTCTTTACGTATAAGAGGAGCACTGTGATGGGGGCAGGTGAGACCTGTCTGCAGCCACAGCCTGGCGGGGTCTGGGCTGAGAAACGTGACATCAATGTGCCTCCATGCCCTGCTCAGCCAACAAGGGGAAAGAGGCATCGTTCTGCACAGGATCCTTAATTATGTCCCGACTGTATTTGATGAGTCCAAGGTGAGAGCATGGGTCACCTGTGGTGATGTTTTACTTGGAAAACATAGTTCTTCAAAGGGAGTGTACATGTAAGAATCACGAGAAATCTTCCTGCAGGGAGAAACGGCCCTGTTACTCTGAGATGATTGAGTTTCACCAGTGGATGGAAAGCGATAGACATTTCCAAAGATGCTGTTAAAATGGGAGTGAACCAAGAGGTTCTGTGTGGCTGACGTGACCACAGTGTGAGCCCAGTGATGAGATGGCAGCTGTTCCAAAGGGTTAAGAATGTTTATCTGGGGGCGGGAGGGGTGAAAAAATATCCTTAGGTTTATCAACACCTGCACACCCACAGAGAGAAATGATGTGTTATCTGATGCCGGGGCTGGAAATGGGCCATGTATGTGCCTGTGTGTGCGTGTGTGCCTCTGCATGTGTATGTGCCCCTGGATGTGTGCCTCTGCATGTGTGCCTGTGTGTGTACCTGTGTGTGCCTCTGTGTGTGTGCCTGTGTGTGCCTCTGCGTGTGTACCTGTGTGTGCCTCTGCATGTGTGCCTGTGTGTGCCTCTGTGTGTGTACCTGTGTGTGCCTCTGTGTGTGTGCCTGTGTGTGCCTCTGTGTGTGTACCTGTGTGTGCCTCTGTGTGTGTGCCCATGTGTGCCTCTGCGTGTGTGTGCCTCTGTGTGTGTGTCTGTGTGTACCTCTGCCTGTGTGTGCCTCTGCGTGTGTGCCTTGTGTGCCTCTGCGTGTGTGCCCATGTGTGCCTCTGCGTGTGTGCCTTGTGTGCCTCTGCCTGTGTGTGCCTCTGCGTGTGTGCCTTGTGTGCCTCTGCATGTGTGCCTTGTGTGCCTCTGCGTGTGTGTGCGTGTACAAGCCTCCACATATTAAAAGTGTTTGTGGGAAGCATGCTAATCCTTAGAACAACTTTTATTATCTTTTCTGTAGGATCAGAAGTGATTGATTTTGATGGAAAAAGTTCCCTGCTTTATAGATTTGCTCAAAATACCAGGAGTCCAGAAAAAGACATCATTTCTTTGAGATTTAAAACGATGCAGAGTGATGGGATTCTCATCCACAGAGAGGGAGGCCACGGGGACGGCATCAGCCTGGAGTTAGTGATGGGGAAGCTGCTTCTACGCACCGGTTCAGGTAACGTGAGCCACCAGGAGCCCAGCAAGCCGGTTACGTAGTGTCCTTTGTACTGAGGACTGTGGGACCTCACCTTTTGACCATCGTTACAGATGGGAGGACTTACACCTGAGAGTCCTGTGCTTGCATGACACACACTTTATACGTTAGTAGTTGACAGAAGGACAGTGGCAGGCGCTCTTTACATCGTGCAAGTTCAGTGATGGCTACATCGTGCGGTTCCTCAGCCTGGGCACTGCTGACGTTCTGGTCCAGATGATTCTCTGTGGTGGGGCCTGTCCTGTGGTCAGTTGGGTGTTTAGCAGCAGCCCTGTCCCCTACCCACAGGACGCCAAGAGCCCACACCCCAAGCCATCAGGGCCATCAGAAATGTCTCCCGATGTGGCCAAGTGTCTCTTGGGTGGCAAGTTGTGCTGGTTAGGAGCTGCTGCCCTGTCCTAACAGAACGAGGACACAGTGCTGCTCCTGAGAGTCCACAGCAGTGACAGGGGAGGGGTGAGTAGGGATGGGGTCATGACAGCACTGCGAGAGGCCAGTGCCTCAGGCGTCGTGGTTCTGGATGGGGCCTCACCATGTTGGTTTCCCTCTGCCCAGGCACGGGCACCCCACCCTCGCCGCCCCCCGGGGGCCTGGTGCTGGGCAGCCTGCTGGACGACGAGCACTGGCACGCGGTGCTGCTGGAGTGCTCTGGCCAGCGTGTGAGCCTCACGGTGGACAGGCACTTGCGGCACGTCTGGGCACGTGGAGATCGGAGCCTGCTGGACCTGGACCATGAGGTGCGGTTTTGTCGGTTAGCCCCTGGTGTGACTTCAGTGCCACCCAGTCCTGGGAGAAAGAGGAGCATTGGAGAGAAAAGCCCTTCACAGTGTTCTGACTGCAGAGGGAGGTTCCCCAGCCAGAAGCTCGTGGGGGAATCAGCTGGCAGCCCTGCAGTATCAGTCCAGGGACAGGCACAGAGCAAGAGACAGCTGGTGTCCTTTTAACCCAGGACTCAGGTCTCTTCCCATCACAGCACACATGTAATTACCACCTATGAAAACTGGAAGAATTTGGCAATGTTTCCAACTAGGTGTGTTACTCAGCAACAGATTCAATGCCCTGTGCTATTTCTCGGCTTTTAAAATGCCAACTATACTCAGCCCACTGCACACATGCATCTGAATCACACTAAGACATAACATTTTGATGCCATTTTTGTAAGATATTTACAAGGCCATGAACTGTAAAAACAAATGAATAGATGTTTCTGTGTTCATTTGGCATAAATGGACGTGGCAGACCCAGCCCCAGACAACTGCTGTCCTGCCTGGCACCAGCCGCAACTCCACTGCCCCAAACTCTCACGGTCTCAGCAAAGACAACACAGGATATTTCATACACAGATGATTGTGCATACCACACAGAGTGGGTACAAGCGAGAGTAGCTTTCCAGTTCCTTGCACACATTTACTTGTGTGCAGGTTTGTTTCTGCACAGATGAAAACACCCTGTGCATGGACATAGAGGTAACGTCCCCTCCCCAGGTACATGTCACACACAGCCAGGCCTGACAGCCCCCTCAAGGGGATTGGTCATGGCTCTGTTACACGTGGCATTAGACAGGGTGGTTCCCTGATGCAGACCCTGGAACATTAAGGTTGAGCTCTGGGGGAAGAGCACAGCAGGGTGGGGACAGCAGGACAGAGGCGTGGGGGAGACAGGACACAGACGGGAATCTCAGGCCGGGTCCCGGGGAGCAGGTCCCACCGGACCCCGTGGGGCTCTGAGTGGAGGCTGCATCCCAAAGTTTCTCACCTGAGTCAGGAGAACCCGCCATCCTCTGCAGACGGTCACCCCAAGGCAATGAAACTTCCCAGAGAGGAAGTACATTAAGGGGGAAGGGAGATGGAGCCGCACAAAACATCATGCAGGGCCGGAGGGGAAGGGGTGGGGCCCGGTGTTCCGGTGCGGGGACCCTGTGTCCCGGCCCACCCTCCTCCGACCACCCCGGCGCAGGTGGCAACAGCTCCTTTTCCTCCCAAGTGCCCCAGTTTGAAGCTAAATCACCTTTTCTCCCTAATGTGGGTGCAGACACTCCAGTGCGAGTGGGTATCGGCTCATGTGAAATGTTTTAGGTTCTATGTCTCAGAATTTTATTTAAAATTAACAAACACTATGTTATAAAATTAGGCAAAATTAATCTACCTGTGACTGTTTCTATTCTACCCATGAATTGTAAATGTTTTAAGCAGATTGTCAGAAAATCACTGAAGAATGCTACTGATGTGATGTTTGTTTCTAAGATCAGCTTTGGGGGGATCTCAGCACCTGGAAAGCCAGTGACGTTTCCGAGGAAGAGCTTCCGTGGATGTTTAGAAAACATTAATGTTAATGGAGAGGACATCATTGACTTGGCCAAGCGGCACAGACCACAGATCCTCGTTACGGTGAGTCCCCTGGGGACTGGCTGGTGTCTGAGAGGTGGCTTCCTGGCTGCTCCTAAATGTCCAAATGTCCAGGATGATGTGATTGATCTGGCAGCTTCCTCAGAAGGGCGGTGTGCGCCTGACACGTGAGCCCAGTCAGAGTGAAGGAAACTGATGTTTGTTCTTTATACGAGACGAGGAAACACGCTCTTGCTTAAAACGTAAAAAGAAGATTAAGTCTCAGCTTGCATTTTCCTTGAGTGGAGATGTTATTACTCTCCAGAGGCCAGTCCCCTCAGACGCAATTCCCAGTGAGCCAGTGGGGTCTCCGAACCCCACAGGGAGAGCTCCCAGATTCCTTACATTCAATATCACGGCACTTGAGACATTTGGAGCAAAGCGTTTGCTGTGGAAGTTTGAACACAGGCATGTAATCAATATGCTATTGTGATATTCTCTGTGACTCACAGGGAGATGACAGACAGACGCTCAGCATGGTGTCATTTAATCTGAGGCTGACTCCAGGCTGAAATCCCAGACATGCTTCCTGATGGCTGTAGCATTTGGGCATGGTTTTGATCACTCTGTGCCGGCACATTATTTGTATACACCAGTTAATACAGCATTCTGGTTAAAATCCCAATCTCCTGGGCTTTGTTAACGGAACCCACTCCTGAAAGATGAATTTTTCACATTGGGCTGAGCCCTCCTGACATGGCAGAAGCCAGCGGCTCCAGCCAGTGCCTCTTGCGGTCCTTCTGCAAAGGCTGCCACCTCCCATGACCCCGGGCCTCACCCGGCAGCTCATCCAGATTTGTGTAAAGTGAGGTCCCCTGTACTCGGGTGAGAACCCTGTTTCAGCATCTTTACACCTTCAGGAGGACAGTGTGTTGGGACCTGTGGGGCCAAGTCTGGGAAGCTGGGTAGGTGGCTGTGCTCATCCAGTGCCAGGGTCAGCATCACCTGAATGTCCGCTGGGCTCCTTCCTGGATGCCGGTCACTGGGGAGGACACAGGAGATGTTGGGAAGGTCATCGGAATCTGTTGGGGGTTGGACAGAGAACAGGTTATCCCAGAGAAGCTGGGGTGACAGGTAGAGTCCACCTGCCTGTGATGGAAGTGTCCAGAAGCCCCTCAGCACTGCCTCTGTCTCTTCCATCCTCAGGGAAATATCTCCTTCTCCTGCTCACACCCACAGACAGTGCCGGCCACATTTCTGAGCACCAGGAGCTACTTAGCACTGCCTGGCACCCCTGGGGAGGACGGGGCTTCGGTCAGCTTCCAGTTCCGGACATGGAACAGTGCAGGGCTGCTGCTGTCCAGCCAACCTCACCCAGGCTCAGGGGGTCTCCTCCTCGCCCTCAAGGATGGGAGCCTCAAGCTGAGTATGCACCTGCCCCCAGGACATGCACAAAGTGACATTACTGCAGGTAATGTGTGTCCCTGGAGCTGCAGAGCATGGCTGTATCACCTCAGATCCTCGCAGAGCTTTACACACAAAGAGCATGAATTTTAAAGATGACTCCTGGAGTCCTAAGACACTTAGGTCCCCACTCCAGGCACCTGAACCTGACACACCAAAGTTAGTGATGAACAGGGATGGTCACCCCGCCCTATCCCACCAGCAGTGTGCCTGGGGGTCGGGGTTACCTGAGAAAGTCTCCTACACTTCCTGACACCCCTCCCACCCTATCACATTAGTGCTTTGTTAATGACACACCCAGGTGTGCACACCCCCCTCTGGCACTTTGCATCTTCTGATGTGCTTGGTTCATCATGAAATATGACAATGAAAATGGCTGTTGGCCTCATGCATGGAAGAAGGCTCATTGTGAGACTCTTGGGAACCCCCTCCAGCCCAGGTGCTCACTGCACAAGCAGATGGTGGCCAAACCCATAGGGACATCCCAGCCAGGATGCTCCTGGGGGCCGAGCCCTCTGCTCACCTCATGACCCACTCTCACCTGCAGAAAGGGGCATTTTTTTTTGTTAGACAGAGGCTTTGATAAGACTTTTCAGGTAGAACACCTCTGCTGGCCCATTCCTGAGCCCCAGAGAGGACTGCCCATCACCCAAATGGGAAACCAGGTGAGTGCTGTCCCATGTACTGCTGTCCCCACTGCCACAGGCCCACACCTGAGCCCTGGAGAGGCCCACCCACCACCCAAGAAGGAGCTGAGACAGCCTACTGCACACTCAACTGCATTTATACAAGAAAATCCACCAGCAGAGTCTACAGATAGAGGAACAAGTCTTTCCTCTGATAGCCCATTCCAGACTAATAGAAGAAACAAACACCCTACCAGATGACCAAAAATCAGGGAAAAATACTAGAACTACAAATAAACAAGAAGATATGGCACCATTGAAGGAATATGGTAATTCTCAAGTACCAGACCCCATAGAGCAGGAAACCCTTAAGATGTCTGAAAAAGAATTCTGAGCACTGATCTTAAGAAAACACAAAGAGATAAGAGAAGAATCAATTAGAGAACACAATAAAACAAGAAAAAATATCCAGGATATGAAGGAGGAAATTTACAAAGAGATTAATACCCTAAAAAAGAATGTAACAGAACTTCTAGAACTGAAGGATTCACTCAATGAAATAAAAAACAGAACAGAAAGCTTGAGCAGCAGGCTAGAGAAAGCAGAAGAAAGAATTTCATACCTCAAAGATGGTGTTTTTGAAATAACCCAGCCAGACCAAAAAAAGGAAAAAAGAATTTTAAAAAATGAAGAATGTCTAAGAGCACTATCGGACAACCTTAAGCACATGAACATCTTAATCATGGGTGTCCCTATTTGCAGATGACATGATTCTATATATAGAAAAACCTAAAGACTCTAGCAAAAAACTCTTAGAGCTGATTAATAATTTCAGTAATGTTGCAGGATACAAAATCAATGCCACCAAATTAGTTTCATTTATATTCTCCAATAACAAGCTAACAGAAAGAGAAATGAAGAAAGTAAGCCCATTTACAGTAGTCGCCCAAAACAGTAACAACAACAAAACCCTAGGAATCAATTTAATCAAGGAGGTGAAAGATCTCTACAATGGGAGCTACAAATCACTGTTGAAAGAAATTAAAGAAGACACCAAAAGATGTAAAGACATTCCATGCTCTTGGACTAGAAGAATTAACGTTTGTGAAAATGTCTATACTACCCAAAGCAATGTGCAAATTCAATGCAACCCCCATCAAAATACCAATAACATTCTTCACACAAATATAAAAAATAATCCTAACATTAATACAGAACAACAAAAGACCCCGAATAGCCAAAGCAATCCTGAGCAAATAAATAAAGCTGGAGTCATAACACTACCTGACTTCAAATTATACTACAAAGCTATAGTAACCAAAAGAGCATGGTACTGGCATACAAATGGACACTCAGACCAATGGAACAGAATAGGCAGCCCAGAAAACAACCCACAGACTTACAGCCAACTGATATTTGACAAAGGCAACAAGAACATACATTGGGGAGAAGACTGACTCTTCAATAAGTGGTGATGTGAAAACTGGACATCCATATGCAGAAGAATGAAACTAGACCTACACCTCTCATCATACACCCAAATCAACTCAAAATGGATTAAAGACTTAAGTATAAGACCTGAAGCTGTGAAACTACTAAGGGAAAATATAGGAGAAACACTTCAAGAAGTAGGACTGAGCGAAGAGTTTATGAATGAGAGCCCCAAAGCACAAGCAACAAAAGAAAAAATAAACAAATGGGACTATATCAAACTAAAAAGCTCCTGCACAACAAAAGAAACAATCAACAGAGTGAAAAGACAACCCACAGAATGAGAGTAAATATTTTCAAACTATACATCTGACAGGGGACTAATATCCAGAATATACAAGGAACACAAGCAATTATGCAGTAGAAAAACAAATAAAACAATTAAAAACTGGGCAAAGGAGCTGAATAGACATTTTTTTAAGGAAGACATACAAATGGCCAACAGGCACTTTAAAAAATGCTCAGCATCACTAGTCATCAGGGAAATGCAAATTAAAGCCACATTGAGATATCATCTCACCCCCGTTAGACTGGCTAAAACCAAAAAGACAGAGAATAACATGTGTGGATGAGGAAGTGGAGAGAAGGGAACACTCCTGCACTGTTGGCGGGATTGGTGGGGCTGTAAATTAGTCCACAATGGAAAACAGTATGGAGGTTGCTCAAACAACTACAGATCGATCTTCCATTCGAGATCTACCATATGATCCAGCAATCCCACTTCTGGGTACATGCCCAGAGGAATGGAAATCATCATGTTGAAGGGACACCTGCACTCCCATGTTCATCGCAGCTGTGTTCACAATAGCCAGGATATGGAAGCAACTAAGTGTCCATTGATGGATGACTGGATAAGGAAAATGTGGTATATTATATACACCACGGAATACTACTCTGCCATAAAAAAGAATGAAATTCTGCCATTTTCAGCAACATGGATGAACTTGGAGAAAATTATGTTGAGTAAAATAAGCCAGACATAGAGGGGAAAACACCACATGTCCTCACTCATAAGTGGGAGTTAAGAGAGAAAGAAGGAAGGAAAGGCCACAGTGGTTCATTGGACTTGCAGAGGGAGAGAGCAGACCTAGGGATGGAGGGGGAAAGGGAGAGAGGTTGGGGATCAATTGGGTGGGGGACATGAGGAATAATCACAATTTGTGGTAATAGGCATGCTGACACTATTGATCTGACCATCACATCTTGGGTACAGGTGATGACGGTCAACTCTATACCCCATGAATATGCATAATCAATAAAGGAAATACATAAATAAAAAGTTAGGAAATTCAACAACAGAATCCAGATGTCTTTCTTCATATAAAAAACTGGGAATCTGGTAACTCAAGGAGTGTATGCTCCCTATAGAGCCACGTTCTCCTCGGTAGGTGCAGGAGGTACTGCTGTGACCTGCATTGCCACCCCCACCTTGTCAGCATGGGCCTTTGATGGCCATTAGATGATGGGGAGATTGATAATATGAGCAAGTCCACGCTGACCAGGAGCAGCTTCCTCAGCCCCATCCTCCTCCCTGGCCCTGGGCAGAGCCATACTTTCCTGGGACACCTCGCCTGTGCCTGGCTCCCTGCTGAGGCCATCAGAATTAACAGCCTCCACATGGGGAGACATCTCAACAAGCACGATCTGGAGACGTGAATCCCTTTAGGTCCAGGTGAGAGATTTCTGGCTCCGTGTCAGCAGATGTGTGAGGACAGACTGGCCTGATGCAGCCCTCAATGTTCGCACGTGTGTTTGCTTACACGTGGTTGCAACAGGCATGTTCCCTACAAAGCTCGCTGCATGGAGGTTTTGCTATCACAGCAGCTGCTGTGCAGACTCAGGATCCCCAGCTGGAGAGAGTGAAGTAGCAGGAGGGTAACCCAAAGCTGTCCTTTATCCATCCTGGGATTTGGGGGAATGACTGCACTTACACAGGCCCCCAGAAGTTAAGTGACAAAGATGGAGCGGTTCGGTGTCCTGGCACGTGGTGTTGGGCCATCCAGGATGCACTGTGGGGTGGACATGCATGTGTGTGGGGGGTCCCTTCAGCCCTTCTTTGGGATCCTGCACCTGCTGGACTCATT